TTTCTGTAGCTGGTAATGACATTTTTTGAATGTCAGAACATAGTAAGATTGGGGAATCCTGATTTATATAATTCACTTTATTTGAATCTTGAAAAACACATTCATAATGAAAAGTTCCTTCTTTTTTTTTTTGGTTGTTATTTTTATGAACTAGCACAACTTTAGTTCCCAAGCTACTCAGGCATATCCAAAACCCCATTTCCGTTTAGGAGAAGGGTCCTCTGTGTGAGCTCTAAGCAGTCACTCCGTGCAAGGAGAGATCTTGTGCTCAGCAGTTTCAAGGTAACAAAGAAAAAGGGCCACTGAAGATGCTGAATAGCATCAGAGGTGGGAGATCCCTCTCCACAGCACCCCTGTCACTAACTGGTATCCCAAACTTCTGGCCAAGCAGCACCTCAGGCAGTGTCTGCTCTTCCCAGTAGCTCCAGTCATGGCTGTACTGAGCCAATGTGTTCCCTGTCTCACCCACCGTTGGGGCTTGATCTGTAGGAACCAACAGGATTGTTGGCTTCCAGTTTTTCTTCCAGCCTTGTTTCCAGTTGGTGTATTAAGTGTCTAAGGCGTTGAATAAAAGGGTCACCCACACACAGAGTGTCAAAGGGAAGCAGGGTAATCTGAAGCTGGAATCTCAGGTGGGAAACAGGATGTGAAGAAGGGAGCTGGAATGGCACCGAGGGGGCAGGGGGTAGGACGAGGGAGTTATTCAGGGCTGGCAGGAGGGGACAGAGGAATTAATGGCTTGGGCAAGAAGGCTGGATCTCTTCTGAACCTCAGGCTTTTTCTCCAGTATGATGAAATCTTTAAAGACATGACAGTGAGTGCCACTGTTCTGATGTTGCCCAAATCCCTGTAGATTTAGGTATGGACATGGTCCTCTTGACTCAGCAGTGTGGCTGAGCAGGCTTGGCAGGCCACTGCTCCTGCCAGAGTTGTCTCTTGCAGACAATGCCAGCGTGTGTTTAATCCTGCACAAATCCTCTCCTAAAGGTTGTGGGGAAGGAATGATCCCTCCGTGCTCCTGTCAGTAACGATGTGACAGCCATGTGGCCTCCAGCTGCCTCTGTGAACAAGCTCCTGGTTTGGGCAGGGTGTGGGAGAGCCAGCAGCAGGGAATTATGGTCTGGGCACTGTGCTCAGGGCTGCAGGGTCTCATCTCAGAGACCTCTCCATGTGGCTGGGGCTGGAGGCACTGTTAGGATACAATGAGGTCTGTGGAGACCCCCAGGAGTTGGTTCATGACCATTGCAGGTAAGTTACTTCTTCTCCTAGTGTGTTCTGTCTGGCCAGCACGAAGCAGCTGTCTGTGGCTCAGGGGTGATGCTCACGCCAGTGGAGCCTCTCTGCCCATGGCTCCTCAGGGAGATGATCCCTGTGCAGGGCCACCCTCGGCAGGAAGTGCTTCTTCTCTTTGTCATAGTGCCTGGTATCCTGTTACAGCGTCGCAGCCTGGCTTGGGTTACGGGTGTGCAGTGTCAAGTAATTGGTGTCAGCACTGTGCTTCTCCAGCCTAACTCATTGCTCCGAAACCCCTTTTCCAGCCCTGTGCCCTATCAAGTCTGGTTCTTTCCCGGAAATTAGTGCATCGAGGATGGGTGGGCAGGCTGGAGCCAGCTGGCTGGGTCTCACAGGATTGGCATGGGGGGCTGGAAGGAGGCTGAGCACCACAGGGTCAGACAGCGACCAAACAGAAATGAGCTGCTCCTCCCCATAGCTGTATGAGAAATCACTGCAATCATCAAACTGCCCTGAACTTCTCCTGCTACGCTGCCTAATCCATCAGGAGAGCCAGCCAGCGCTGTTTGACAGCTCTGGAAGCAGCTGAGAGGAACACCTGCAGAAGCCCACCAGGAGTCACCTCAGAAAGAGGTGGCAGCAGCTTTCCTGCTGTGGGAAGTGCTGTGCAGAAATACTTCCTGCCAGTCCTTCCCATGGGTTCTGCTGGAGCTTGGTTTCCCCCCCACCACTTTCATCTGGGCTCAGAACAGACGGCTGTAAGCAGAGAAGCAGCCTAATTTATTTATGGTGTGCATTAACATTTATTCAGCTAGTGGCTGTGTGGGGAGAGAGGTGGCAACCTGAGAGGGGCCAGCCATTCCCTGCTGCCAGCTGAGGTGGGACTGCTCCCTGCAGCCACAGACTCCTTCAGAATGTGGGGCTGAACAAATGTGGTGCTGTTTTACTAAGGGGGGAGGAAAGGATGAGTGTCCTCCTCCCACAAGAGCCAGGAAACTCTACTGAGGTTGGCAGAGCAGCTGGAAAGCATATCAAACTCTGGCAGGAACAGAGCCAGGGGAGGGTATCTTGGGGCTTTAAGCCAGTTTTGTTGTAGAATTCCCTTTGGTGATCTCTCCACATCCCTCTCTGCTCACCACAGTGAAGAATACATGGTGGTAGGCAACATCCTTGGTGATCAAAGCAATTTCAGCAGGCCAAGTGTGACACCAGAGTTTTCCCCACCCATCAACAGCCGTGTGATGAGGCTGTGTCCTGTGAGGACCTTTGCACTATGCCCTGGAGCCCCCACAGCGTGAACCTCCACCTTCACCATCTGGGTACCTTCCTGTGCACAGCCTGAAGCTGCTGCTGTGTTCCAGTCTCACCACAACAGTTTTAAATATCCCTCTTCAGGGTCTCCCCTGAGGTGGGTTTAATATTCCCAGTAAGTCCCTGTTGATACTGGGGACACCTTGGCCCTCAGGTAGCACTTTTGTACCCACAGTTGGCACCCCTGTCATGTTAGACCAGTACTACTGTAGGAAAAGCATCTTTAGAAAGCTAAACCCAAGGCCTTGTTCACTTAGAAATAATATTTAGACACCTGTGTGCATTGGAGCCGTCATAACCCAGTGAGCTTTAAATGAGTGGATGCCTGTGTGCTGGGAATTTGGGAGTCACTGCACTCACTTCTTGGAGGTCTGGCAGTGTACGCAGGCTGAGGGTCCAGCCTGATTGCACAGCAGGAAAATGGAAATATGAAAAGTCTTGTCAGCTCCAAATGTCCCTCAGCAGTGTTGTAATCACATAATCAAGGCCAGCTCAGCTTGGTGTGATATTTTTCATTATGAAACATAATTCCTCCTGGAATTTTAGTTCTTGCTTGCCCTCTATCCCCAGATGTGCCAGCTTACAGCAGAAATTAATGCTGGGGGAGGGAGGATCCAAGTGGGAAAGGGACCAAGACATTTAAATATTGGTTTACACGTGCTGAGTGTCTTTTGCTGAATTAGCGGGTGGGTTTCAAGTGCTGCCAAGCAAAATCCCTCTGGATGTGCTCATGCCAGAGGCTGGGCTGGCCAAGAGGCACTGATTTGTGCAGAGAATGCCTGTAAAGCTCATTCTGCATGTCAGTAGTGGCAGGGAAATAGCAGGCAGCTGCTTTACTCCTCCTGAGGATTTGGCCCAGGGACATACAGTCCTGATTTCAGGTTTGCTGGAATTTGGTCAGAGAGGTCCCAACCCTGGTAAATTTGCTTTTGAGGTGTGTTCATACAAAAAAATGTGGAAGACAAAATTCTGTGTTGAAAAGTGCTTATTTGAGAGCTGTGTTTGTTTCCAAGGCAGGCTGTCAGCCTTTCCCTGCCCTGGCTTTTGTGGCACAGGATTGTGGGGTGTTCCCTGTGCCATGGCAGCATTAGATCTCCCTCTGTAACTCTGGTGGTGTAACTCTGGTGTATCCCTGGGTTGCCTGCACCCATGGGTGCCAGTCTGCAAATCTGCTTGGCTTTAATACTGTTGTGAGGGCCCAGGTTCATTTTTACACTTCACTGTAGGGCTGTTTACCTGGAAACTGCAGCCCTCCTGCCCCTGACAGGATGTGCCACAGTGTCAGTGCACAGCCAAAGGAATGTGCACTGCCTTGGAGGCAGGAGAAGTTTGGCTGCACTAGCAGCCCTGTGTGCACCCAAAACTTCCACACCTCATCCTCTTGCTTCTTTATCATGTGTCCTTCCATCTCCAGAAGTGACAGACACAGTTCAAACCTCTACTTGACACCTGCCCACCCTGCAGCATCCAGGCCACAAAAAGCCCAAATTTCTGCTCTGCCATTATCCTCATGTTTCATTTCTTGGGAGGTAATTATCATTAACAATTGCTTTGTTTAGCACTAAATACAGCCCCTGCCATCCCACTTCTCCCCAGGTGAGGTTGGTCTTTCTGGACACTACTCCAGGCCACTCCACATGGATAAACCTCCAGCCTTGGGCAAATGCAGTCACTTCCCAGGGATAAATAAACCATGCTGGCAGTTCATAGCTGCCAAGGACAATCTCTGATCAAGTAGAAGATCTCCAAGGAAAAGCACACACAGCCTGTTCCTTCCCAATTAAACATCAACCAGGTGAATCCACAGCTCTCAGGTAGGAGAGCTAGCAGGCTCGGACATCCCAAAAAATTCTTGTGTTACCCCAGACAACCCCCTACTTCTTATCCAGGAAATAACTCAGGGAGGTGATTTCTCACATGATTTATGTTTGCTCTGCTCACCCCAGAAACCACATTTTCACTGGGGTACTTGGATCTGCTGAGATCAGGAATAACTGTTATTGATATCTAAATGTGCTCAACCCAAACAAACTGCCTCTCAGACTGTGCACAAAAAACCATCCTGCCCCTTCCCTGCACTTCCAAAGAGCCAAAGGGCACGGAATTTTCATGGTTCACTGAGTAGTTAGAGGAGGGTAATCATTAACCTGCTGAGGACAGTCTTTCTTTTGTGAGGCCCTTTATCAGGTGATCTTGCTAACAGACCTGGGGAGTATCTGGGTAAGGGAAGCAACGTTATGTTCCGACAAAATTCCGACTGTCCCCAGCGCGGGAGGTGTCAGCACAGATGTGAGGTGTGTTTTTGCTGCCAGGTCAGGCCAGCTTGTAGCGTATGGAATTCTGGGTTCATGTGGCTTTGATTGAGTTCCAGCCCAAAGCTCCCAACATCCACATCCAGCTCTCCAGGGGTGCCTTTGCCATGGGAAACTTTGGATACATTTGTGGGCATGACTCACCATACAGGTCCTTTGCACTCAGCTTGGAGGCTCCCTCGGCTTTGCCCATGCTGCCACTGCAAAAGGAAGAAGGTGCAAATCAACCATCAGCTCCGGAATATTTTTAACATCAGTTTTCACACAGCAGCTCTGCAGTTGCCCAGAGGGACCAGCCCTTCCCTTCCTTGCAAAGCATTTCCTTGTGGGCCGTGTCGGCGGTTCCCTGTGCAACCCTACCCGTTATCCACACCACAGGCACATGTCACTGAACCCAGCTGTGGAAACAGGACACGGAGCAGCCCAGCCAGGCCTGTCCCCACTAGAGTTACCTTCACAATGTCCCCTGGAAGGACAGCACTCTGGAGGGACTGGGTTAAAGACAGTGGCTCCCAGTGTGCCATAAATGGGGATGTTACAGGGAGACCCCGTCCAGTTTATCCCTGAGTCCACCTGAACATGAGGCAGTACAAGAGCCAAGGTGATGATCCCTTCTCAATGGACATGTTGGAGATGTACCCCTTGAAGGCAGGTACTTGGATATAGAACATATCCTATGTAAGGGAGGGTGGGACTGTGTGTAAACAGTTGAGTTTTGGGCTGTCAAGTCTCTAAGCTTGTAGGGCCATCCCCCATGCCTGGGTCATGGGTAGGAATGAGCACCCAGGAGATAACAGTTTTCTCTGGCAGAGGAGGATCCAATGGGATCTGAGATGCTGTGGTTGGGCTGTCCTGCATGGAGCAATGAGCCCATGGGGGCCCAGGGGCTGCTTTGTGCTCTGTCACTGTGTCCCCCTGAGGGCAGACTGTGGTTCAGGTGCTCATAGCCAGTGCAGGAAGGAGGGAGAGAGCTGGTGGCTCTGGCTCCACTGGGAGGTTGCCATGGGCTGCTGTAGCCCGAAGCTGCAGGTGGAGAAACTCCTGGTGTCCCTCTGCTCTCTCCACCTAATGTGCCATTATCAAACCCCAGTGCAGAGGACAGATGATGTGTGAGGCAGTGCCAGATTGTGAGGTGCCCAGGAGGGGTGAAACAAACACCAGGGACTTTGGGGATGAGTGGGACTGCTTGGAGTATCCCCTGAACAGTAGGAAGGAGTGGTGCAGGAAGATCCTTACTTTGTTGCGCCGGGGTTGCTGTTGAGGGATCCCTTGTGACTCATGTTGCTTCACAAGCCAGGCAACTGCAGCAGAAGCACAAGAGACAGGGTCAGTGGTTATAGAACAGGCTCTCAGGTGATTTATCTGTGTGTATCCTGCCCTCCCTGTCTCCAAGCTGTGGTCTCCAAGCAGATGAAGCAGTCAGGTAAGTACAAGACTCCCTGTTCTCAGTCACCTCTCACTACTCTGACCTAGGCTGAAGGTGACACATCCCAGGATGTTTTTTCAAAACCTATTTCCATCTCTCCCTCTTGCCCTTCCATTCCAGGCACACCCCAGCTTTGTGGCATTCCAGCACATCTTTTTCCAGCAGCACTGTCCTGCCTAAGGTTAAACAGGGAGTGAGGTGGCCTTTGCCTCCATGGTCTGTGCCAGATCCCTGTGCCCATGTGCTCATGGCTGTTTGTCCCAAGTAATTGTCAAGCCTAGAGTGTCATTAGCTTTTGTTATATGGTAATTTTAAGCTCTGCACCAGCTGTTAAAGTATCTTTACGAGAGCATTGCCCACATAAAATAATAAAGGATAACTGAATGCTGCTCCGCTGGCACCTCAGGGATGAAGGAAAATGTACTGCGGTGAGTGGTTAGTGAAAGGTAGACAGGATGAGCACAGATCATTTTCCTCTTCTTTCCAGTGAGAATTAGAATGTGGGAAAAGATGTGAGAGAGATACAGGCACTGTTCTGACAGCAGAACTGCAAGGGAAGAGAAACAAATCCTGTAAACAAGATATAATAAGATCTCAGGGAATTATTTGTTTTGATATCCAAGCTCTTCACCTCTGCTCCATGTGTGAGCTGAAGGGAAGCCAAAGCAAAGTCCTAAAATTTTTTTAAGTCTCTTTTGAAAAGTTCAGGGCATTTCTGTGCCTGGGTCAGACCTTGCTTACATCATGATAAGGTTGTCAGAATTCAAAGGTTTGGCTTTGAAATATTTGTTTCTGGCCTAAAGGAAAAAATTCCTCAGTGTCCTCAGTGGGATTTCCTGCAAGGGAACAGCATGTGCCAAGGGCTGCCATGACAGCCGTGGGCAGGCAGTGGAGCTTCCTCCAAGGGTTTGTCTTCACTGAATCTAGGCTAAAGTGTGTGTAATCCTCAGGGAATACTTTGGAGTCATCCCTGACACCTGGGATTTCCCCTCTGGAGGCTGACTATCTGCTGCAGGGCTTGTTGTATCATCATCAGAGCTGCCCTAGATTCCTTACATATCCGTATTTATTCCTCATGTTGGAACACTTGTGGTATTTTGCTCTGTGTGTTTCACCCTGAGGTGAGGGCAGAGAAAGTTTTCTCACTGATCTTATCAGAACTGTCAGTGGGATGTCTGAGGGATGCATTTATGAGGATGCTGGTGAAGTACTTGGCTGTACACAGACGGCATGGAGAACCCCAGCATGTTTTGGGCTCAGCCTTACAACTTTCAGCCTGTTTTCTGTCACAGTAACATGCTCAGCACGGAGACACTGCTAGAAAAGACTCTCAAGTGCATTATAGTAGCTAGTATGTTAAATTCCCCCTTTTTTGTCTCTCTTGTGGTTGATACTGAAATCTCTATGCACACCTATAAGAGGTATAAATTCATAACCACATTAGAATAGAAACCTGGTGGTCTGCCAACTCCTGCGTGTAATAAAACCCATCCCTGTACCCATGCCTGGATACCTGTGAATTTTTCCTCTGTTAATAGCTCTCTGCTGGTTTCCTTTTACATTCCTCAAACTGTTCCTATCTCCTGGATCTCTTTCTGCATTAGCATAAGATACCTGGAAAAGAGAACTTGGGCTCTTAAAAACCCCCGCTCTGTTCTGTTTACTCTGCACCACCCAATCACTTAGGTCCCACAGCTGATGATAGTTGGGAGTGTTTCTGCATATTAGTGTCATATTTCTGGCTCCCTTTCTCTTACTGCTCCAGGGCCATGTCCTAATGTACTGAAATCCAGGTTACTCCAGCAGGAGTGTGTCATCAAGTTTGGCCCATGGAGCTCTGACCTGTCCCAGCCCCAGCTGTGAAGCACCAGGAGGAACCAGGGATCCAGCTAAGGTCACCCTGGTTTTTATTTCTCCTTCCTATGCTGTGTCCAAAAAATAAACCTCTGGGATCTGCTCTTTGAGGAGCCCATCTGGGGCAACCCAGGGTGGCTGCCGGAGGTGCAGATTCCATGGCAATGGCAAAGGAATCTGGCTTCATGGGTGAAGCAGGACCAGCCCTGAATTCTTCATCTCATGGTGGTTAATAAAATACTGATGGGATCAGCTGGTCTTCCCAAATGATAAACTAAGCTGGAAGGCTGTCCTCTCTTCCAGGGTGCCTGTGTCCCAAAGAGGCCATGAAACTGGAAGTAGTACATACACCTGCCAAGTCAGCAGGTCCTTATCATGCTGGGCTCCCTTTTCTTTGTTTATTCCTGCTATTCTCCTATTTGCCCTTTGCTCAGCTCTCCCCATTGCGTTCAGCCGTGGCCATGCTCAGCCTTGTGTTGGTCACAGCAAAGGTGTGGTGTGGTGCTGGCCAAGTGAAACCAGGATGGAGCCTCATGCCAAAGCTTTTAATTCTACATTAATTGCCGGATATTAATTGAATCTGATCTGGAAGACTGCAGTGGGGAAGGGCACATTCCTAATGGGCTGGAGACTTTCTAACAAATCTTCTAAATCAAGAGGCAACTGGGCTTGTGAAAGGTGAAGGAGGGCTAAGAGCATTTCACCTGAAATGTGGACCAAGATGTGAGAGATGAAACTGTGGGCTGGCCTTCCCTAGGTTCTCTCTCCCCTTAGGAACATCTTAAGAGTTCCCACAGTCTGCAGCCTCAGCCAGATGTTGTCTTCTCTCTGCTCTGATTAGAGGGTTCTGATCTCCCCCTTATCTCCCAGCAGCTGTGGCTGCTGCCTCCTCCTTGCCCAGCGGGAGGAGCATAGGAAGGGAGGCGAGATGCAAGTGTCACCATGCAATGTGTGGCTGTGCAGGTGTCACCTTTGACTCAACCTAATCAGAGCCAATTTCAAGACCATCACCCACCCTTTGGCTGGTGCAGGGCAGAGTCTCTGCTTGGGTCACCAAGCAAGGGAGCTGAGCCTTGCACATAAGCATGGTATGGAATGACATATGGACTCCAGGAGCTAACCAGGCACAAATTCAGACTGCTGTTGCTGAAGCAATTACAGGAAAGCTAAACTGCATGGCTAAAGCCTAGCACCTTGATCTGGCCCAGGCCAGGAGGTCCCAGAGGGACTTAGGGAGGCCAGCACAAATCAGTGCTGAAGGCCATCAAGGTGGGTGAAGACATGTTGTACTTTAAAGCACAGGAAATCCCACTCCCTGACTTTCCGGCCAGTCTTATCCTTGGAGGTCAAATATCCTCCCAAAGACACACGGAGCCGTGACAGGAGCCTGGCATTGTCTGCGCCACATTTCTGTACTTTTATAGCAAATGGAAGCTGGCCATGCATTGTTTTGGCTTTCTCTGAGTCTCTTTGAAGAGGGAGCTGTGACATTGATCCCTCTTCTCCAAGGGTGGAGAAGCACTTTGTGAAGGGAAAGAGTAATATCTCTTTCTCCTCTCTGGACTGTTCTCCACTATTGTTTTACTTTATTTTTATTAGGTATAGCTCTCCCTTATCTGCTGTGGTCAGACTTCTTACAGGGTAGGGAAAGGACATGAAAAATTCTGGATTCTGGGTAAAGACTGGACAATGTGTAAATGTGAAATATAAGTGGGGTTTTTAGGGCTATTATTATTATTATCATCACTGTTAATGACATCAGCATCTGGTGTTTGTGGGTTTTTCTCTTCATGGGTGTAAGACCTTTACGACTGAGACTGGGTTTGTTGGTATCAGAGAATATTAGGATGCGATTGTAGCAGCAAGGATTTATGCTGGTCAAAACAGAAACATTTTTGCTGGAACAGTAGAAGAACATGGCAAAACCCCCAAAACCTTAAGCTAAGTAACCTAGGAGTAATAGCAAGTTTTTCCAAGCATGTTCTAACCCAGTTCTAACTAACCTTGTCTGTGTTTTTGTCAGTCATCACACTGAAATCTGCCTGGGGCAACAGGACTTCTGAATTGCCCATCAGCCGTGCTGAAGGGAGTCTCTGCACCAAGAGGTGATGGGGCTTGGTCACTGGTGAGATCCCTGGGATGGAAATGCTCCCTGGGATCCTGCCTGGGGTAAAGGGTCCAGTGTAACCTTGCTGTCTGTGTATGTATCCCATGCCAGAGGGATGGGCCAGGCAGAAATGCTGGATTGGCAGCAGCCTTGGCAGTAACATAAAGCGTCAGGAAGAAACATGAGCTGGCCATCACACAGTGTTATCTCTTAGACTTCCCAGGCCCACAAAAGCTGTCTGTTAGGGCTGCTGGATGTTTTCCTACAGGAATGTCATCCTGGAGAAAGCTGTTTGATGGGCTGTGCTGTAAAACTTGGGCTGCTTGGAGTCGCAGGAGAGCAAAGGGTCATGGGGTGTGTGTCCTGCACTGCTCCTGCTCCAGACAGTTCCCCCAGCCCCTGAGAGTATCCCACCAGTTCCCACAATCCATCCTACCCTCTCTGATGGTATGGAAGGAGCTGGCAGGTAGGGAAGGCCACAATCCCACATCAATCCACTAAACGGCTTTTGGGCATTAGTGAGGCACTGGCATATGTGTGCTCGGGGCTCCTCATGAGACACCAAGAGTCCTAAATTCACACAAACTGGTTTAGATCTCTCAAGGTGGTTGTGAGAGAGACCCCAGGAGCCTGTGGTTGACTTGAGAACTTTACATGGGTCTCTGGTCTGCTGGTCCAGCCTTCTGGAACCACCCTTCTCCTGCTTTTAGATGCTTTTCTGAACCTGCCTGTAAGGATGGCTTCAGGGTTCACCAGGAGAAACTCAGTGTCTCTGTCAGTAACATGCACTCATAAAAAAAAAAATCTTTGGGTTAGTCAGAAAGCATCAGGAAATACAAATCCAGAGCAGAGAGGCTGACAGCCAAACAGAGGAACAGGTTGTTGTTTCTCCTTGGAGAAGCAAGCCAGGATCT